ATTATATTTTTTCTTTAAATGAAAAATTAATAAAATCGGGCCAAAAAAATTATTTGAGCTCTATCTTACTTAGCATATACTTCTTCACGATCCCAAGAAGCCTCATAAAAATTTTAAAGATGCTTCATTCATTCATTCATGTATGGCACAACATCCCGTTACCGAGACTGGGCCTCCTCCAAGAGCCTCCGCCAGTTGGCTCTGTCTTCTGCTGCAGCTCTCCAGTTCCGCACACCAAGCAGGGTTCTCGCATCATAGGCCACGTTGTCCAACCATCTCGTCCTCGGCCTTCCTACCCGTCTTACGAGGTGCAGCTCCTCCATCATTATTTTTTTTGGTATTTCAAGGGTGCTCATTCTGGCCACATGCCCTGCCCACCTTAGTCTGGCCAGTTTAATATACGTGACTACGTCGATGTCTGCATAGAGAGAACTGAGCTCCCTATTTTTTCTTTTCCTCCAGACATCACCCTCCTTTACTGGACCATAAATCCTTCTGAGGACTCCTCGCTCAAAGACACTCAGCTTCATCTCATCCCTTTTAGTCATCGTCCAAGCCTCTGAGCCATATGTCAAAACAGGCCGAACAAGGGTCTTGTATATGATCAGCTTGGTCTTCTTTGAGAGGTACCTACTTCTTAAATGTCGGCCAAGTCCAAAGACACATCTATTGGCAGCCGTGATCCTTCTTTGTATTTCTTGAGCCATGTCATTCTTGCTATTAATTTCAGACCCAAGGTATATAAAACTTTTCACTCTCTCAAACTTAAAAGAACCTACCTCAAATGGAGAGTTCAGATCCACCTCACCGCCAACTCTCATATACTTAGTTTTCCTCTCGTTGACTTCTAGACCAAGTGGTCTTGCAGCTGCTTCAAGGCTTATAAACGCTTCTCTGAGAGCCCGTTCAGACCTACCTATAATGTCAATATCATCAGCAAAACCAAGAAGCTGTGTCAAGCGATTGAAGATTATATCTTTGGTCTGAATACCGGAGTCTCTTACAGCTTTCTCCTCTGCCAAATTGAACAATAGACAGGCGAGGGCATCCCCTTGCCTAACCCCACTGCTCACTTTAAACTCTTCGGAGTCGTCAGAACCGACGCGTATTCTGCATCTCGAGCTGTCCATGGTCATCTTGATTAGGCGTACGAGCTTCTGAGGGATGCTTAGCTCCTCCAAGGCACAGTATAGTTGCGTTCTATCAACGCTGTCGTATGCTGCTTTAAAGTCCAGGAATAAATGGTGGGTGACTACCTTACGCTCCATAGTCTTTTCTAGGATCATCCTCAGAGAGAACAGTTGATGAGTGGTTGAGCGTCCTCTTCGAAATCCAGCCTGATATTTCCCCAGTTCCTTTTCAGAATACGGGAGGATCCTCTCAAAAAGAATGTTAGAGAGCAGCTTATAAGCACACGAAAGGAGTGAGATTCCTCGATAGTTAGCGCATTCTGTTTGATCTTCTTTCTTATGTATTGGGCAGATAATGGCTGTTGCCCATTCCGTAGGCATAGCTCCCTTCTCCCAGATGGTCAGCATTAAATCATGCAGAGCTTTCTTGAGTTCTTCACCTCCACATTTCAACAGCTCTGACTGGATTCCGTCCGGGCCTGGCGCCTTTCCATTTTTCAATTTCCTCAGGGCGTTTTCCATTTCCTCCTCATCCGGGGGTTCAATAGAATTCAGGGAGTCTTCCTTCATTACACCTACTTCTCCAGGCACCGTTCCTCTGTTTAATGCGCCTTTGAAATGTTGCACCCATCTCCCTAGTACGTCATCTTTGTGGCTTAAAAGAGTTCCATTTGTGTCTTTGCATGCCGTCACTCTGGGCCTAAAAGCTGCCCTACCCTCGTTTATTCTCTGAAAGAACAGGCGACTTTCATTTTGGCCTCGCAATGCCTCTGTGTCCTCCATGTTCTTATTTTCCCAAGCTCTTCTCTTTCCGCGGAATAATCTCTTCTCTTCGCGTCTTTTTCTTCTATATGTTTCTTGGGAGAGCCTTGTGGGACGCTGAACCTTCTTTCTGTAGGCTTCATTTTTCATTTTTACTGCTTGAAGGCACTCAGCATCAAACCATGGGGGCCTTCTAGATTTAGTCTCGTAGCCAAGAGCTTCTTCTGCTGCCTGTTTCATTGCGTTGCTGCATCTCTTCCACTGTTCATCGACCATAGAGCTGTCATTAATTACTTCTTCATTAAGTTTCGTCTCCACAGCTTGTTGATACGAATATTGGTGGTCTGAGTCCTTAAGTTTAACCACATCAATCTTCTTCTTTGGTCGTTGGTAGTGGTTTTTAAAGATGCTTCACTTCCACAAAATTTTAACGAAAATGAATTTTTTTTTTTCAATTACACTTGTGTTACTTTGCCTCTAGGTTCCTCACTTTATGTTTGAGATAACTGCCTAATACGTTTTCTATTTTTCTTCAGATGATGGACGAGATTTGGATAACCGTCTATGGATTTTTCACTTGTCGGCTCCTGGAAGGATTGAGATTCAGCGTGGTATTTCGCACGAATCTGTTGATATCCGCCTGGCCGCCAACTCCAATAGACAACATTGATGAAGATGATTTCTCCGGCATCATTTGATTTATTTTTCTTTTAAATATGTAAATACCTGGAGGCTTTAATACAAGTATTAAACTTCAAACTCTAACAAAATAAACGCCATTGTTCACATTTATTACTAATTTCTTAGTGATAGATTAAGGTTCGTTGGGGCCCATCCTAATATTCGGATTGTAGAGTATATAATATGAAACTAAACACGGTCAATATTACTGAGGCAAAAATATTGATTCCAGTCCCAACAATATTGATCATAATTAAATTGCTTCATCTATATCCTGTTACTTTTTATTGAAGCTCTTTCGATATGATTGAAACAGTGTCAATATCATTGATCATGAAGGAGTAATCTTACTACATTTTAGGATAGATATATAAGATACACTGCAACTTTTATTTTCTAATGTGTTGTATTATTTCCAAACAAGAACTTTTTTACATTGAAAATTTCAACTAAAGGTTTTTTAGAACTTTTATTTTTAAAAAGTTTATTGAAAATTTAGTCGTCAGCGATCATCACATCACATTCAGCTCCTCCGTTCAAAACATAGGAATCATCATAGACGAAAATCTCTCCTGTAAACTCCATATCGCCACATCTTCCGAAGGTACCCTTAAGTTATTTCATCGCTCCCGGCACCTACTCCCACAATCCATCCGCAAGCTCCTTGTATCCTCTCTTATTTTCCCCTACTTTGACTACGGCTGTGTGGTGTACGGAGGCATCCCGATGGTACTCGAGGATAGATTGAAGCGACTCATGAATACCTGCTTAAGATTTATCTTCGGTACTTCGAGGTACTCTTCCCTTCTTCCCGCAATATTTCCTATGATCTTTCCTATTCCAAACTATCAATACCCGACACCCTTCCTACATCTACAGTCTCCTACAGTTCAAACCCGTGATCCACTCCCCGAAAACAAGATCCCGTATTTCCGACTTTTATATCCCTTCCCATAGAACTAAGACATTTGAATATTCCTTTATTGCCCGGTCCACTGCCTTCTGGAGTTCCTTGCCATCTGATATCTGCCATGCCTCTATCTTGTCTTCATTTAAATATCATCTCTACCAATTCCTTCTCACATCCCAAAATGACGTTGTACAATGAAATAAAAATTATAAATCAAATTTTGACCGAGGTGAATGGTTGTTGAAATTGTTTTGAGTTTTAACTTTTAAAATCATATAACGATTAAAGACACTGGTATATATTCTTTAATTTTGATTGTAATTTTTGGCCAGATTTGGTTTTTATTTTTTGTTCATAATTGTTATTCACAAGGGACCTCGTCCCAGAATAAAATTCAATCTCAAAAAAAATAAAAAATTCAATTAAAGCAATTTATTTCTTTAAATAATAAATAGTTGTACATTTAGAATATACCCAAAACTTTATACTTTTCTAACTTCATACTTTGAAAAATTCCTTAGAATGTTTATTTCAAAACTTTTTTGCAACAAATTTCCTTCGGAATCGTTTTTTTTTCATTTTATTTATCTAATGAAATTTACAACTGTATAAGCAATACAAATAGTAAAAATGCATACAATGGAAATAATGACATGAACTGGCCCAGTGGTAGCATTCCCTATTTAATTCTAGGTGAGAAGATCATGTGGCCATCTTCTTTTCAGACGCCTAAGGGATTTATCAGGAATCGAGGAAGAAGCAAGGTTGGAAACAAGTGAATTTGGATGTGACTGGAGTTTATCATGAAAGGATAGATATCTGGTTCGGGCTAAATCAGCGACATCATTAAGGTCTTTATGAATGGTTTTATTTGTGAAAAAATATGGGGCATTAAGGATTTTGGATTGTAAGGATTGGATACGATAGGAATTCGATGGTTTGGTGGAAACCCACAGCTCAACTCCTTATGTCCATATAGGTCTTATTATGGTTAAGTAGATGAGTCTTTTGTAATTAATTGAAAGTTTAGAGCGTTTGTTTAGTAAGTGTTGGAGCAGTCGGAAATCGTAATTATTAAAATTAAATATTTAAAAGTTTCAACCTCTGACATCTGATACCTTATAAATATTAAAAGATCACATGATCATGAAACAGATGACATATATCATTCATTTCGTAATATGGAAAATTGTACGTTATATGGCTAAACATTCTACTGCCATGTCAATACTGATAGCGCGATAGTAAACGCTGTCGTAACCATCACTGCCATCAGTTGACATCAAGGGATTTTCGGCGACAGTTGCAGTTATTTTTTCTTTAATTTTATTAACTGCAGAGTATTTTCTCTTTCCTTGACGAAAAATAACTACATATCAGGTTTATGATCGAAAAAGTAATGTTAATCATGAAAGCTTGAAGTTTAGATAACTCTGAATACTGAGGAAGTCTCTGACGAAATGTTGGTTTAATCAATTAAGATTCTACCATCTCATCTGAAAGACGACAATGGAGGTTTATGTATGCTGCAAATAAGTCACGCAGAAAGGTTTCATCAATTCGAAAAAGCTTTGCGTTGAAACAAGTTTAAGTAAAACCGGTAGGGTTTATTTTTGTTTGTTTTTTACAAAAAAGAGAGTATACAGCAGGTAGTTGCTAAAAGTGAGGTCTCTGCTAAAAGCAGAGGCAAATAAAAGATTATTTTAATGTAATATAAGATATAAATTTATCCAGATCGTACATTTCAGAGTACAAGTTAATGCGATTAATCTAAGGATATATATATATATATTTTTTTTAATTGTATCCGAGTTTTTCGATTATTCGAGATAAACTCGGCTCCATACAACTCAGATCATCGGGACTCTACTCCATCACTGAATTAACTATGTTTCATAAAAAATTGGATGTAATTGCGTTGTCAGGTTCAGAAAAGGAAGATGATATGTTATTTGCAAACAGCATAATCAAACTGTATTGAGGTACAATTATCATTCAAAATTTCATGTGGCAATGTTTAATTTTTCACCAAATCGATCTTGAACATAAAATTTATGCAGAGGACGATCTCTTTTGGCTTGCTAGGATCATAGATGCGTGCTTTGATGTTCCAATAATAGCTAAACAAATCTTCAAAGTTAAAGGGAACCATGGCCAGCAACTCATCGGCGGTGATACTCGCATTGCGAAGCCTGTAAACGCCCTGTAACATTCAATTGAAATATTAATTAATTACAAAGGTTTTTTAATGAAGAAATCTCAACATTAAAATATTTATATGGTACTAGTTCTATTTTAATACTCCGAATTTCAAGATCACTCAGAGCATGCTGTCTCAGATTCCCGATGAACAGCGAACGTAGCCGAAAATTGACGATCCTGGACGAACCCGACATAGCTGTTTCTCCGCCTTTCTTATAAGGAAATACATAAAAAAAAAAGTATGCCAAGTAAAGTGAGTATAGCTTCCTCACCGGTTTCATTGGCTAAACAATATATGTATTACAAGGTCTAAAATTCTTGCTATGAGAATAAAATCTCTGGGAGAAGCCGTTTTCGGAAATTCAGTAATCTCACAACATATACAGGTTTGATTTCCACGGGTTTTGTTCATCAGCGAAAGAGTTCCGCATTTGCAGATTGCATATTTGATGATTAAAAAAAAATTCAGTGCATACTGAACATTAATTTATGTAAAAATTGATTGTTTTACATGAGGTCATCAAAAATAATTGTTTCTTTATGAATTATTTGTATAATTTTGTATTTTATTGTCCTCAGCTATTTTCCATCGTAGCCGACTGCTTATTGTAAAGTATAAAATAACACAATAACACCTTTAATACAAATAGAACAAAAGTTGAAAATGACGACCTTTTGCACGAACAGTAGTGATATATACTTAATATTTATGTTTTCACTTGTAAAATGGATGGAATAAAAAATCCATAGGTAAACTATGATCAAGCTGAAATTCCTTAGAATGTTTATTTCAAAACTTTTTTGCAACAAATTTCCTTCGGAATCGTTTATTTCATTTTATTTATTAAATGAAATTTACAACTGTATAAGCAATACAAATAGTAAAAATGCATACAATGGAAATGATGACATGAACTGACCCAGTGGTAGCATTCCCTATTTAATTCTAGGTGGGAAGATCATGTGGCCATCTTCTTTTCAGAGGCCTAAGGGATTTATCAGGAATCGAGGAAGAAGCAAGGTTGGAAACAAGTGGATTCGGACGTTATCATGAAAGGATAGGTATCTGGCTCGGGCTAAATCAGCGACATCACTAAGGTCTTTATGAATGGTTTTATTTGTGAAAAAATAAAAAAATGGATATCTATTTGTGAAGTTCACACAACTTTGATATTTAAGGTGAAAATATAATCAAACTGGTATAAAAAAATATTTGTAAAGTTCACACAACTTTGATATTTAAGGTGGAAATATAATCAAGCTTGTATAAAAAAATATTTGTGAAGTTCACACAACGTAAGGTGGAAATCGAGACCACGATGAGTAGGTTGAACTTCAATAGAAATAAACACAATCACAAATGACTTTTTTTTTACAAGCTCAGAGTAAATATTAATTTAATTACACGAAATTTAAGTAACGTCAGTATCATGCCAGTAGCGTTTGGAATCGACCAAATAATAAATTATAAATATATTTTTGATAAAAACTTAATATTTTATAACTAAATAAAAATATTGTCTTAACCTAACTCACAATTCAGATGATTAATGCCATTTTACAGCCATTAAATTGTTAACAATTATTTATATTAATTTTAATTATTAAATGGATTCGATGTAATTGATACTGAATAATTTCTATAATATTCTCCAAATTTCCTCAAAGTTTGGGTCAAATTGAACGTGCAGTTTCCAGAGTATAGCCGTGTCAAATAATAAATTTCCTGACCAGAAAGCGGAAGTTTTTTTTTTGGAGAGTTGATAGAATTTGATAAAATTCATACATACTTGATTATCTGTTTATCAATCCCTAACTCCACCCCAGATTTGAGCCAAATCTGGCGATTTTAGCGATATAGACGTATCAAGGAAAACACGTTTGCTCATATATAACAGAAAGTAATAGACAAAATTCAATAAAATTGACACTACTCTATTTTTTCACCAATACCTATCCTTTATCCAATTTCGAGATAAATCAAATGAGCCGTTTCTGAAATATCAGGGTATCTATGAAAATACATTTACGTGTGCACAAGCGGAAGTGGTGGATGGAATTCGATTAAATCGATATGGAACCATCTAAACAACAACCTGCACAATCCCTAAACATTTCATGAAAATCGGATGAAAGATAGTAGGTGATATGCCCGTCCCATCAATATGACTACAGACAGAAGCCGAACCAAACTCAATCCTTAGTTACGGAATGGGCTTAATCCGTAACAAATAATAATAATAATTATTTAACTTTTATTTTGTTAAATATCCCAATTGGTGAATTATGTATTACATTGTCGTTTCTCATGACTCAAAAGACAAAAGAACAAATCATCACTAGATAGCCAGGTCAAGGTATCTCTAATAGCTTAGAAATAGTTATCTGGAATGTACTGACTGGACAGAGGACTCATTATCAAGACTTAGGGAACAAAAACAGATTTCAGCAAAAGGGCACTTTCTCACAGACCTGACCTCATCTTAAGAATATTAACTATCGATAACTTCCTCTTCCGACTTCCCTTCACCTCCTTGCTATTCTTGGGTATATAAACCCCATGCTCCTCAGAACAAATTACTCATGCAGTTACATTCTTGAAGTCACACTCTTCACTGTAGGAGACCTGGAGTGAACTCTTGTATTCAAACCATATATCCATAGTATATTACTCTGTATGTTAGATTCCATTTGTAACAGACATTATGAATAAAACCATTACTTATAAAGTCTTCACTGCCTCCGATTCGTTAACTCTTGATGTCTTAAACGTAAAACGCGAGTGGAAATTTTCGATTGTGAGCAGAAACATTTTTTTAACTTCTCGCACGAATACAATGCTTCCAAAAAAAAAATAAATAAAGAAATAAAGAAAAACTTAAAAATGCATTAACTTCTTCTTTAAAATAAGCTAAAAAAAAAAATTGGGACTATGAGCATTGGAAGAAAAGCGTCCTACCGCTGAGCTAATTTACTCCAAATTTAAACATAAGGTGTTTGCTCCTCAAAAATTAAAATTGTGATATATATATATGTTTTCCTTTCACCCCGTGCCTAATCATTTTTGGCATAGAGGATGGTTGCCCTACAAGTTACAAACTTAAATAGAATAACGGTTCCTTTTGGAATCGCTATTGAGAAAAATAAATAACCTTATACTAAATGCGAATACCTTCTTAACAGGACACCTGAGCTTTGGATGAAGACACTCCTGGAAGCTGTAGCTGTAGAATTGGTCCTTATCAGTGAACACTTTGCACATGTCTACCTTGCCTGTTATCAGAGGTTCGCAGATCTTGTCCCTAATTGCCGTGCACTTGTGAGCGGTGAATTTCGCCTGTGGGACAAGATGGATTCATTGAAAACCTTCATTACAACAAGCGCTTTCAATTATTGCATTGCCAATATTTATTTAAAAAATGTAAAAAGCAGGTATTCAAAATGCTTAAATGAATGGCTCAAATAAAAACCACGTTCTTGCTGATGGATTGAACATTTAAAAAAAACTGTACCACTACAACCCATGAAGGGTCTTGGGTTCAGTACTATTTAGGGAAAGCACTGTTTCTAGGTCAGCGGTAGTGCAAGGAGGTGATTTGACCGAGATCACGTTTAACTCTCAGGTTTTCCCCCTTAATTAATTATTTATTTAAAGGTACCCGTTTTAAAGAGGCTGAGTGTACCTCAGGAGGGTCTCCCGACCTAGGGTCGCCCCACGGCCAATATAACAGAATAAATAAATTTACTGCCATGAGCCGGGATTCGAACTTGGGACCTTTAGCATTGGAAGCTCAGTGAACATTTTTTAAGAATTATTTAAAATTCAATAATTTTTGTTTTTGGTTTTTTGTTTGGTTAATTAATAAAAAAAATTATTATGGATGATAAATATTCAGGATAAAGTCTTTTTAAATTTTTTATTTATGCCAACGTTTCAACCCAAACATGTGGCTCATCTTCAGGGCTGAAATCACCATAGTTTATTATTTATAATTATCAATCGTATACTATTATATCTCTGATTGTATTTTTAAAAAATTTCATCACTGAAGATGACCCACATGTTTGGGTTGAAACGTTGGTATAAATAAAAAAATTGAAAATGACTGCGTCCTGAATATTTATCACCCATGATTTGTACAACAGTCGACTAATTTCCTTTAAAAAAAATTGATAAATAAGGTTGAAATGCACAAAAACTTCCATCAAAAACGTTACTTTGTGCAATAAACCGACTTTACAAATTCTGTAACCTTTTCGTGAGATCTTAACTACGTCACAACTCTCCCTGTATTTGTCTGTATCCATACGCCAAATTACTAGTTTTCGATTCTGTGGGCATAGTAAAATTATTTCAACTTTTATTTTCTGCTCTGATATTTATAGCAACTTATTTTTTCACAGCTGTTAGAAAGACGATTTAACAAGCAACAAGCCCTAAACGTCTTGTTTTAAATATCTTATCTTATATATTGTAACTGTGATGTGACAACTTACCATCAGATAGCGGTATTCGTGGGCGAAGTACGTATCAACGTCCATCGTCTTAAGATGGCCGTTGTAAACCAGCTTACTATAGTTGACCATATTGGGGTAGCGTCCTAAGTCGCAGTCTTCGAAAAATATATAATTCACAATCTTTCTGTTTCTCATCTATGATTTTTTTAAAAAGAAAAATTCTACATAAATTATAAGTTCAAAATATTTTTAATTAAATTGGTCAGTCTTACAGAAGAATATCTGATTAAAAAAATAAATAACTGAAAAAAAAAAGTTCCTTACAAATTAGTTGAATATGTATGTGAAATCCTATTTAAATTGTTTCAACAATAACAAACTTTACATTCATTTAAAGTTGTTTTCATTTAAAGTATTTTTTTGTAAATTACTATGAAGCTTTTTTAGTTAGATAAATTAAATAATTGTTTAGTTATCGCTTCCTATTCATAAAAATCTGAAGTGTCCACTCACACAATTTTCCTACCGATTTCAGAAAAGCTTTTATATCTTTAAATATGTCCCTTAAAAAACAAAAAAAAGAAATTTATTATATTTTTCTGAAAATTGATAAAAAATATTATATTTGAGTACAATTTCTTTCATAAGCTAAAGCAATGTAAACTGATTTGTGAATCGTGCAAAAAATTCAATACATTCTAACATTGCTGATCAAAACATTTTTTGCAATAGCCCAATTTTGTCAGACAATAATTTTTGTTATAAGTAAAGGAAAAATGAAACTTTTTTTTTCTCTCTTTCGCTCCTTTCTGGCACCCGGATTTATTTGAACTCGTTATCTAAAATAGTTTTTTTTTTTTATTGGATAACCTCCTACCTACCATTTTTGGCACAAGGGGGAAGGAGGGGTTGTTCTAGTGGTACTATTCCAGATTATAATAGCTGTAACTTCGTTAATAGTATTCCGAAATATGCGATTTTTATATAGTTTTGAAGAGACTTTCATTATATCAAAAAAAAAAAAAAAAAAACTTTCCGAGATAATCTTACCATAGACAGACAGACCAATAGCTGAAAAAGTGTTTTTCGGACTCAAGGAGCTCTTAAATGTGTAGATCCATCGAAAACCGCACATCGGAAATTTGACCCGATCGCAATACTTTCCTTACCTAGTATAGGTAGCAAATTAATAAATTAAGACGTGTGTAGAAAATAGAATACGCTGTATCATCGCTATTGCTGGTTCGATTCCGATGATTTTTGTTTTGTTTTGTTTGTAATTTATTTTTTTTTTACAAGTTTTTTCCGAAAAATGAAACCAGTTGAGATAGGAATGTAAAAAAAACGTAACACTTAAAAAAAGACAAACCTTAAATTTCCTACTTTTCTGCGGAAAATCGGACCATTGTTTATATATAAACTTTTTTGTAGCTCATAAGGTGTCCTGTAACCCCATAAATATTAACCTTTGATTCTATAACACCCTGTATAATTAAATATGTAAAATAATTTTAAATACTTTTAACATGCAATTTATCTGATACCTTCTTCCTCGCCTCGTACTCTTGGTAGGTGAGAGATAGAAGTATGTAAAGCAAAAACGTTGCGAAGACATTCATGGCAGTACTTCGGTGGATATAATGATGATGATCAACGTACTACAACTTGTTAATTGCTGTTCTTATCGGGCTAGGAAATGTCAACGTTATCAGCAGAAACAAAGGCATTAAGCGGCTATCTGATGAAGAGAGCAGCATCCGTTCCGAATAATTCGTACTGAAGGTAAATTTGAAAAATAAATTAACATTTTGTAAAATTAAGAATTACACTGTTTTAGAATTCACATCATTTAATTAATATTCAGACAGACAAAAGTGATGTGTCTAGTTTAAAAATTATGTTAGTTAATTTAACTGTTTAATCATCATTATATAAATAGGCAAACACAAAACGGTTCAGCCCCTTTTACTCCTCTATTATTCAACCGATTTTCTTCAGTCTTTTTTGGTTTAATAGATATTGACAAGCTTTAGTGTTATCAATAAATAAAAATATTAAATAGTATGTAAAAAAAAATATAAATGGTAATTTGTTCAAAACGGCTAATATCCGAAAGTTCTCCACCGATTTCTTTCAAATTTTGACACAACGTCTCAATAATATTTATTAGTGTTTTTATATACGTTTCATTATAATCAGGTATTTCTTTTCGAAATGGCGGCCGAAAAACGTGATTCGCTTTATACCGCTTTAACGATTTTAATGAAATTTGGCTAAATTCTTCCCCTTGAAACATTCATAATTTATGTATAAAACATGCTTTCTCGAAAACAATCTGCATACATTTTCATGATGAATTCTGTATTTAATTAGCGAATAACTCAAAAAGTACACATTTTTTATTGATTATTATTATTATTATTTATTTTAAATGATATTTACAACTGTATACAAAAAATACATCTGGTAAATTCGCACATTGGTATAAAGACATGGAACACATGTTGAGAAACTACCCATTGGTAGCACTCTAATAATATGTCTATATTAGAAGATCACGTGGCCATCTTTTTTTCAGACGCCTCGGAGGGTTATCAGGAATCGAATAGGAAGCAAGGTTAGAGACAAGAGGGTTGGGATGGTTATGAAGTTTATTATGGAAGGAGAGGTATCTGGATTGGGCCAAATCTGATACATAAGGAACATTTAGGTCATTATGGATAATTTTATTTGTAACAAAGTAAGGAGCATTGAGGATTTTACGAAGGATTTTGGATTGCAAGGACTGTATGCGAGAGGAATTTGAAGGCTTAGTGGAGCCCCATAGCTCAACCCCGTAAGTCCAAATAGGCCTTATTATAGTCATGTAAATCAGTCTTTTATAATTGATTGGAAGGTTACAGCGTTTGTCTAGTAAGTCTTGAAGTAGTCGGAAACGTCGAGCTGTTTCTTGTCGTTTCAGTCTGGTATGAGGATTCCAAGTTAGACGTTTGTCCAGATGGAGTCCTAGGTAACGGATTTGTTCAACAGGAATAAGTGAGGTGTTGTTAAAGGATACTGAAGGACAGGAAGTCATTGGTCATTACGACGAAGGGTGAAGGTGATTTGATGGGATTTATTGGAATTTATTTTAATTCTCCAGTTCTGACACCATTCTTCAAGGTTTGTGATGTGGGATTGAAGGGTTTGGGATGCAATAGATGGGTCGTTATTAACTGATAGGATACATGTGTCATCAGCATATGTGGTGATGACAGTGTTGGGATGGGTTGGGATGTCAGCTGTATAAACTGTGTAAAGGATAGGACCTAGGATACTACCTTGAGGAACACCTGCAGACTGGGAAAAACGGGATGTATATACATTGTTGTGATTTACTTTAAAGTATCTATCAGTAAGGTAGGAACGGATAATGAGGAAGTAGGTAGATGGTAGGAATTTTCGGAGTTTGCACAGCAGTCCCGGGGGCCAAACTCTATCAAACGCCTGTTCAACATCGAGAAAGGCTCCCGTACAGTACATACCGCGCTCCAATGCAGAGGATACTACGTCTACCACACGATGGCATTGCTGTATAGTGGAATGGGAGGAGCAGAATCCAAATTGGTGATCTGGGATTATGTGATTAGAATCTAGGATTGGGTACAGGCGTTTTAAGATTAGTTTTTCCAGAAATTTTCCCATGATGGATAACAGAGAGATGGGACGGTAAGAGAATGGATATTCTGGTGGCTTTTTGGGTTTGTGGATCATTTTGACAATAGATATTTTCCAAGGACCAGGGAAATATGTGGATCGGAGTACAGCATTATATATGAAAGTAAGGAATAGGATGGCTTTTCGAGGAAGAAGTTTCAAGATCTGGGATGTTATTAGGTCATGTCCAGGAGCTTTGCAGGAGGGTAATCTTTGAATGATGTTGGATATTTCTGTGGGATGAAATGCTTTAGGTGGAAGGGACATTTGGAAAGGAGTATCCAGTTCTGATTCAATACATTCGATGTGGGTTGGATTAAGGATATCAGGATGTGGGTTGAAAATTTGGAACAGATGTTGACCGAATAACTGGGCTTTTTCTTCGTCGGATTTGGACCAGGTTTGGGATTCAGTAAGAAGTGGGTGATTAAAGTCTTTAAACTTCAGAAGTTTTTTGGTTGTAGTCCATAGTGATTTGTCAGTTGTTGTAATATTTTCAGTTAGGTTCAGTAATTGTTGAGTTTTATATTTTCTGATTTTTGTTTGTTAGTCAATTCGGTATAGTACGTTTTGTCTGAAGGATATCTAGTCCTGTGGCACTTCGATCTTGCTCTGCGTTTATCCCTTAATATGATTCGAATATGCTGTTGCAAGTTAATATGTCTTAAATTATTGCTTTTATTATTAACAAATGTGTTATTATTTATACTCGTTGTTATAGTTGTATTAAGGTTTTCTATGGCATTATCAATATATTGTTTTGTCTTAAGGGGAATTTTTAAGTCCAGTTTATCTTCCAGATCATGACGAAATTTGTCCCAGTCCACTCGTCCTGTAATTAGTTTAGGAGGTGTAGGTTTAGGAGCAAAGTTCGAATGTAGTAAAAGCAAAACTGGACTATGATCTGACGAAAGGTCATCCAGGGATTTGATAATGGATTGGGAGGAGGAAATCTGGGAGGTGATAAATATATCCAGGATATCGAGACGTTTTTTCAGAGATGTAGGCCAATATGTAGGATTCATGGGAGAGAGGATTGAATAACTGTTGGAAGAAGAGACACGTGATAGGATGCTACCGCGGGAGTTGGATGTTCGACAACCCCATCGTTGGTGTTTAGCATTGTAGTCTCCTCCAGCAATAAAGCGCGCTCCGAGGGATTGAAATAAGGAATCAAGTAGGCTATAAGAGAGGGAATTACCAGGAGGACAGTATACAGCTGAAAGTGTTAGATGGAAAGGACGAGTTGAAAGGATTACAGAAGTTGATTGAATGGCATCAGTTGGAGTAGAAGGGATAAGGGAATGCGATAGAGATTTATGTATAAGGATGCAAGAGCCAGCGTGGGAAGTGTTGTCTGGATGGTCAGATCTATAAGTGATGTAGTCACGTATGTAGAATTGTGTCCGTTGAGTGAAGTGAGTTTCTGTCAGGAGAGCAATGTCAATATAATTGTCATGGAGAAATATGTCTAGTTCGTCACGGTGGTTTTGTAGTCCGTTAGCGTTCCATAAGAGGATAGCTAGGGGCTTTGTATTCTTCGGAAGTTAAACGGGATTTCGGAAAGGAGTCTTGTGAGAAGAGTTATAAGCGGTTTGGTAGTCTGTTGAAGATCTATCAGGAATGATAATAGGATAGAGTTGATGTCGGATGATGTTTGGCTGGGAAGTGGATTTAGGTCGTGAGGTTGTGATGAGTAATCTATGCGAATAGGATTGCTGGGTGGAGGGTGGGTCCGACGTGGGATACGAGGAGTAGGATCTAAATTCTGTTGGACTTGTGATGGGAGGTTCATCTTGGGATTAGGAATAAGTGAAGCTGGGTGTGGGTGCTCTGGCGGGAGTTTGACCCTTAACGGTAGCTGATGGTGAGAGATTGGCTGACGAGGCTGTTGAGGTTGAGTATAAGAGCTTTTGGGCTTGGATTGGGAGGTTTGACGCGCCTGACTTAGAGGCTGCTTCTTAATGATGCAAGGCTGCCATTGAGAATTTCTTGAATTCTGTTGAGGATAATCTTTAAGTGTAGAGATGGATGGTTGTTGTTGGACGGCGATGGAAGGTGAAGTCGGCAAAGCTGGGAAAGTTTCCTGATTTTCAATTTCAGATGGCTCAGTACAAGTTTTTTGAGCAGGTCCAAGGATTTTCGTCGCTAAGTTGCGTGATCTCTGTTTGTGAAGATTTTTATACACCTCACAACCTCTATAGCTTGCAGGGTGGGCTTCACCACAAAGAGCACATGTAGCGGGCTCATCTTTTGGCCTCTGGCAAGTGCCTGAAGCGTGAAAACCGGCGCATTTAACACATCTGGCCTCGTGATGGCAATATGTCTTCGTATGCCCTAAGTTATGACACTTAGTGCATTGTACTATTAGGGGCTTCTGCCTTGGTTCTTCAAATCGTACTGTCGAGTAGACTAAACGTTGAACCTGAAATATTTCATTATTCGTTTTTGCTGGTTCCAAATCTATAAAGAATAATGGAAGCGGATATCTTTCCCTAAGATGTAGTACGGGTGCTATGTGCCTGACGTTATGACCGATTTCTTCCAGGCCTGTTTTGATGACAGATATAGGAGTGGTTGGATGTAGACCTCTCAGGACTACTCGATACGCCTTGTCCTGTTTCAATTGGTAACAATGGAAGTGGTAGTTTTTGGAAGTTAAATAGCTAATCAATTTTTTATAGTTTTCTTTAGAGTTCGTGTTTATTTTAATGTCATTGATTCGAGAGAAGCAGCGAAAATTTGGCTGTCCGATTAATTTTGCAATTTCTTGACCAAACGACACGAAGTTCTCAATTTTTGAAACAAAAACAGGTGGCGGTTTGGGGTCAGAAAAATCTTAAGGCTTCGGAATCTTGCTTGATAAATTGTCATCGAGAATAGTATTCTTGCTGGCTGAGGTGCTTGGTGCAGTTGGCT